TTTTTTAGATGTTTAGCAGTCGTTCAAGACATACTCATTATCAGCAAACAAATAGATCTTATTATGGTATTATACTTCTTCTTGCGGAATTAAGTCGTTCATCACATTTACCACCAATAACACTTATAATTATTATTCTTAATGTATTAATTTATTTTGATATATTTCCATTATTTGGTTTATCAAATAATTTACAATCTGTTTGTGTTAGTACACATGCTGTACTTGATCAAGGAGATTATATGCGTATTTTACTTGCACCATTTTTTCATGGTGATGATATGCATTTATATTATAATATGGCATCATTTTTATATAAAGGACAACAACTTGAAACTCTATTTGGTGGTCGATATTTTGCACTTCTTGTTACAATATTAACAATATCATCAAGTTTAATGCTTGTTATACTTGGTCAATTAGCATCAAGTTTATTTGATAATCCAGAATATTTATTTACATGTGCTATTGGTTTTAGTGCAGTTATATTTGCATTAAAAGTTATAACAACACATTATACACCTGATCATAGTTCATATTCATTGTTTAGTTTTATTCCAATATCAACAAAATATATTGTATGGGTTGAACTTATTGTTATACAATTGATTACACCTAATGTTTCGTTTCTTGGTAAATTTTATCATGTTTTTGTGAAATACGATCTAAAAAGAGTGTTGAAATATAGAAGTAGAAATTTGACTTCCCACAGACGTTTGTTCACATACGATGGAAGACCATTATATCAATAATAACTCGTTATAATATAGGAGTTACTTCTTTATATCATTTCTGAAGTATTACATCGTGTTTCATATTTTAATTTCTCAGAAATTGAGCTAACAGTTTTCTAAGTTATTTTGATTATGAATTGCTTTTTTTTTTAAATTTAGGTCATTTAGCAGGAATTTTAGTTGGTCTTTTGTATACAAATGGTCCATTACGATATATTTGCAATAACATATATAATGTTATGTTTTAATGATTTAGTGATATAAAAAAAAAATGACATATGACAAAATGGACAAATTCTTTTATTTTATTTCAGAAGAATTTCAATGTAAAAAAAGCAATTAATAATCCCGATAATGTTTTTTTGTTTTTGTTCTATTATTTTTCGATATATTCGAAAGAAACATTTTAGTGATACTGATTGTATAGAACTATATACTTTTCAACATGTTCTTGTGTTTGTTTTTCAATAATTGTATTAAATTGAAATTTTGTAAATAAGTTATAAATATAATCTTGCAATAAAAATATGTAGATAAATTGTTCTTGTAAGTCAAATGTTGTTATGGATAGAAGATCTTCTAACTCAATAACATAAGCGATTTTGAATTTATTCTATATACTCCCAACAATAATTTTCACTATGTAGATTAACATTAACAAGTCTATATTTTTTCTTTTTATAAAGTTTATTAATAAATAATTGTTGAATTGAAGAAGTAACTTGTTATGGTGAAGAAAAAAAATAAAATCTCAAAAAATTTCAGAATGATGATAGAAGAAATCAATTAAAGTTCATTGGCACAAGACTATCAAAAGAAAGTTATTTATTTACTGACGATATCAGCAATTTATTGGACTTTTACAGCAAAAAAAACAATGTTGTGGGTGCGGGGTTCGATGTTGGTCTTGTGTTTATCCTCACACCCATACCCTCCACTAGGGTGTGGGTGTGGATGTGAGTATGGAACTCCGGTTATCTCTTCTTCCACACCCACACCCACATAACTTTACTCTTAGTAAAAAAGCCAACGCGTTCATTCGAACTGTAATGAAGATATTCAATTTTTTCCGATAAAGTAACTTTTGGCCCGCCCTATATATGCACTTATCGTAGTTGATCTGAAGCGGATCTTTAAAGCCAATTTTCTGTAAATGTGTCCGAGTAATATGTTATAAATATCTGTGGAACTATATACTATTCAAATCATGTTCATACATGAGAAATCTCTGATCATAATCAATCAATGCTGTTTTCTTTTACAATGTTTCTATCGTGGAAATTTTAGAACTGTTTCAACATCAAGGCTCGATAGTACGAATGCTCGAAAGGTTGACTCCATATATCGGAAACAATTTCTCAGTCGGTTTCACTAAAAATTCTGATTATGACATTCGATTATCTGCATTTCTTGTACTATATGCATTGAATTAACATCAGAGAAAGTGTTATCACATTCTTTCATTGTTAATGGTATATAATCGTATTAGAATTTTTCTTCAAAATAATAGGAAATTAATTGAACAATAACCACATATAAAATTAAATAAATTTTCTCTTATTTAATAGTATGTTTTTCTTAACTTTGCAAAGTCACTAATCATAATAAATCTTTTTTCAATATTAGAAAAGTTATAAAGCCATGAATATCGAATTGATTTGCAAGTTCTTTTACTTCTTGTTCATATATATTCCAAAACTGTTCTAACAAAGTTTTGACAGCTTCTTTTGAACGATGATTATTCTTTTCTAATATTTCTTGTAATAAAGGCTCGCTCCAACTGTGCACAAATTGTGTACCATGTTTTGCAAATTCATCCAATGTCAACTCTCCTTGTTGAAATCGAATCAGCATATCTATTCGAATTTCACACAATTCAAATTTGATTAATTTCAATGAAAATTTTTTAAATAAATCATAATCAATAAGTTCTTCATAATTATGATAATATACTGGGAAAGTAAAATCGAGTAATTCTTCTTCTGTCATTGGTAATAATTTTGCACATTTGTATAAGAGTTGGAAAGTGATTTCAATACCACCATGAGAACCATTATCATTTGTACAACCAATACAAAGAATAAGTACACCACCAGGAAGAAGTTCATTTGAACGATGTTCCAAAAATTTTGTATAATCAAGACGAGCTTGTTCTTTAAATTTATCATATTCATCATTTAAAGCGTATAATGAAACACAATGATTCGATACATTACATGGTTTACATGATATTCAATGAAGTGTTGAAGGAGAGTAATCAATAGATAGAGAATTTAATGGTAGACATTGTTCATAAAATGATCGACCACTTGCAAAACCAAAATAACTATCATCTTTATTGAGTAGATCGAAAAGTATTTGCCAATTATTGGTTGGTAGACCGTTATGAACAATAAGAAATGATCATTGTTCATTTTTAGATATTTTTAAATATTTAATAATTTCTTTCATGGTATATATTGAATTTAAATCATGTGATGAGCCAAAATCAGCAATAATAATTGGTTATGTTGATGATAAAGAAGAAAGATCGAGAAGATCAATTGCTTTATAAATGAATGGCAACGAAATTTCAACTAGACGCATTTGTAGACATGAATTCAAATTATAAGTGTCATTCATGCCTTTGGTATTATCTGACATTTTTACTTGTTTATCAAACCTGTTAAAGAGCACAAATAACACTAAATGAAAAAGAACAGAATTTGTAGATATTTTTTCTCCTTATCTTCTACATAGATTGTATGATAAAAAACAAATAATAAATGGAAGATATCATATTACCATCTGTTTATGTTCTTCTTTTTGTCCTTTTTCGATTAGCGTCGAATAAATTAACGAGCATTATTCCCGATTCGCTTATTGACCTTCAATATACATAAAAGCGAGCATATATCAGCTTGTTTGTTGCTAAAGACAGTATCTTTTCTTCCGTCTATTTTTTTTCAATCGTTATATTGGCATATGTCAAAAAGACGTTTGAAAAAACACATATTCATCTTGAAGTGCTTGAGGGACAGTATGTTTTTTAGGTAATTATTGGAAGAGTATTGTTCATTCATCGACATGTGAAAGCAATCACTATTCTTAGTTTTCTATCTAGAAATGTTCGAATTTATTGACTTGTGCCTATAACAACATATATCGTCAATTTCTATTGAAACCAAGTCATCTTTTTCAGACACGACTGTGTCTGACCTAGAAATAGTAATCAATTAATTTCTCTTTAGTAATTTACCATAATTTTCAAATATCAATCAAAGAATATCTTGTTCTGCTATATATAACATTTTTCGATGAAAAATAATGAGTGATATGAATATTAAGTATTTGTATCAACATCAGTTGATAATAGATTATTGTACAAATATGTTATTAATCAGTTTACGTAATTCTTTCATTAACAATAACAGACGATATGTCAATGAATCGATAAATGATGAATGTTAGATTGGGTGTGGGTGTGAAGAAAAGATCCACACCCACACGCACATTCTGAACGATATGTAGATGTAGTAATTGATCCAAGAGCATACAAATATAGTGTATGTAAAAAAAACAAAGCGAATATTATTGTTTGTTCTCTTATAGTACTTATATGTGTGAGGAGTGGCATATAGAAGACAACAATACTAGTGGTTATCTCTTTTATCGACTGGTTTATTTTTTGTTTCTCTTTACATTTTATGTTGTTTGTATAACTCTAACTTTTTTCACATTTTCTTCACCATGAGTAAAAGTTTTCGTTTGTCGTTACGTGAAAAAACAGAAATTGTGAAATGGTACGCCATTCACCAAAATGCAGCTGAAGTTGCTCGTCAATTTTAAAATCGTTTTGATCGTACTCCTCCAATATCAAAGCATATTTTGAGTCTTGTACGGAAGTTTGACGAAACTGGAAGCCTCGAAGATAAATCGCGATCTGGTCGTCCTAGATCCGTTAGCACCGACGAGAATAAAGAACGTGTTCGTACTGCTTTTGAAGAAAGTCCTGCAACTTCAACAAGAAGAGCTTCTTTGGAACTGAATCTGTCTAGAATTAGTCTTCAACGAATGATGAAAGAACTGGGATTGAAGCCATTTCGTCCGCAATTGCTGCATGCTTCAGATGAAGATGATCCTGACAGACGTTGTGAATTTACTGAGATCTTTCTCGACTTGTTAGCTGACGACTCTTCCTTGCTTGATCGAGTTGTTTGGACTGATGAAGCTATTTTCAAGTTGAGTGGTCATGTCGATCGGCACAATTGCGTTTACTACGCTGTAGAAAATCCCCATGTTATCACTACTCAAGAAATGAATACCCCAGGCATCACTGTGTGGGCCAGAATTTAGGTTGGAGGCATCATCGGGCCGTTCTTCTTTTATGATAACGTTACTGCAGACAGCTATCTCGAGATGCTCCAAAAAGATATTGTACCCTCTATTGCAACTGAAATGGATTTAGAAGAGGTAGTCTATATGCACGACGGAGCACCGGCTCATTAAGCTCAATCTGTCCGGCACTTTCTGGACAAAATATTTTCTGATAGGTGGATTGGTCGACGTGGATGGATCGACTGGCCGCCACGATCTCCAGACCTCACACCAACTGACTTTTTTTAATGGGCTGTCATCAAGGAGCACGTATACGTGACGAAACCTCAAAGTCTTCAAGTACTAAAAGATGCTATACTCACTGAAATACGAAGTTTACCGGTAAAATTTGGTCAAAGCGCTTGCTACTCAGTATCTGAGAGACTGCAACTTTGCAAAGGCTTAGGTGGTAAATATATTGAACAATTTCTCTGAAGAACTTCATAATAAGAACACTCCACAAAGGCATACTTTTGCACGTGTTTTTTTCTTAGTTGGAACTTCTAATAAAAGTTCTATTGGAATTCACAAGCATTTTCTTCTTGTTAGTCGTTCTGTATTTGAACGCTTTTAGATTATTTACTACATTTACATATCGTTCATATGCTCAATCTTTTATTTATCACACCTAGTATATGTTGTATAAATATCAGGGGTAAGCAACAATCTATAAGATAGAAATCGAAAAAAAGACTATTTTTCGTTATTTCTGAGACGCCCGGTATGTAACAGCTTTCATCATTTTCATAAAATTCGTCCAAAAGCTTTTTCCTTAATTATGATGTGCACAATAACCACATTTAACAGCATCATATTTCAGATCGGCATTATGCACAATCAGTGGGCACCGACATGTACTACTCTTTCACACCATCAGTTGTTAACACGCATTATGTTATCGAAAAAACACAGAAAAAGCAAAGTGATCAATTATTTGTCAAAACCATTGCCATTACACAATATTTCCACGAACAAGCTAAATATTATTTTACAACAAACCAACCTAACCAATTGGCAAAAATAAACAACACCATCACGGAATACAAACACCTCAGTGCACCTACACATCTCACCGATTTCCAACACAGTTCCTAGGACAACATCTACTCGCAACGTTCCCTTCAAAATCGACCGCAGACATAAAGTGAAGTCTCCTTAAGAATGTTCCTACGTCATCTGATATTTGATCAGCTGATCGAGTCGCAACCTTTACTTCGAAGTGAGCAAAAGAGGTGAACAGAAGTCTGGTTATGAATGTTCGTTTGCCATGTGATGTTCGATCAGCTGACGGAGTCGCAACCTTTGCTTCGAAGTGAGCAAAAGAGATGAAGGGAACCAATCATGCTCCGGGTTTGATTGTGATTTGTGGTCATTTGTCAGTAAATGTTGAAGTGGTTTTTGTAAAGGATGAGCGTGTTTGCAGATTGGAATGGTATGTGGTCTTCTGCCGCTGAGCTGCATCATTATTGAGTATTGTGTTGGTATTTTATTTGGTGCATATATGATAGGCTTCTTTTGAAATGTGTATGGGATTATGGATTTGTTTTGTTTTTGATGTAAATATTTTGTTTTCGGAATCCATTCGAGCCATGGTGCTTGGTAAATTTTGGGATTTGATTGCGAAAGCGAGTTGTGTGTTTTTATTTGTTTGTGTTGGCCGGTTTTGTGGTCTGCCTGTAGGAACGGTTTTTTGCATTGTTCTAATCTTTTGGTTGGTATTAGTTTGTTGTGTGTGTGTTGATTTATACAGGGTATAGTGGATATCTGGCTGTTTGAAAGTGTTTAGTGCAATTGGTGTTTAGAAAGAATTGGACAGTAGAACTTGTTTGATGCGGTTGGGTGATGAGCGCTATTTTGTTTCCGAGAGAAGGGAGACGCCAATTTTGAGATGGTATGCATTATTTTGCGGCGAACGGGATACACTATTTGTTCGATCTGTGAGGATTGCGTTAGTATGGTAATGGTGTATCTGCTACTAGAGTTTTTATAACGAAAACACGCTCCGTGTGGAAGTGGTTTTTATCGATCTGCAGCCACTTTTCTTAATGAAACGAATGTTAAATGTGAGAGAGTATGAGATGCTTGTTGCTGTTGTTCATGGATTCTGGTACTTGCACTGAGATCTTCCCTTATATAGTTCTGGTCATTGAAGTTTGATGTATGTTTGGTTTCATAAGAAGCAATGAAGTTGAGACATGAAGAGTGAATGATCGCTGTACTTATTCTATGAACGTGAATAGCTGGGTGTAGTCCGAGTATTGATGATCGTTGGACAGTTATAGCTCACATTTCGATTCGGTAACAACTATTTCATCGGAGTAGAAGTATAACATCCGAACATATCTGTGGATGATGGTTTCTTACTTCATTGTCGGAAATTGATTTTAGTGTTACATGAAAACACTAATATGAGCTTTACAAGATACTCCGTGATGAGCAACGTCCTATTGTGCTATGCAGTTCTAGAAAAAGAAACTGTAACCTTTCTGTATGTCCTGGAACCAACTTAGGTATTAAACTACGTCAGATTAGTAACAAGTAACGCTCGTCTATGTGACTCGCTTGACCCTCGACTGAGTATTCAGCTGGTTCGGTATTGTGTACTGCTTCGCAGTCCTCAACAGGGCACGTATCAAAAGTTTGAAAAGGGTGCATGTGAATGCGAATATTGACATTCGCATCAATGTCTTTGTGTACATTGACATGCGTGTGTCTGAAATACGTTTTCTTATAAACTGATCCAACGAAACAGAAACACATTGAATGATATCCAACGGAAATCTAGATGAATAACACTAAGGCAGCAGTATCCATATGCTCCGAGAAAAGGGTTTGCATTTAATATAGAGAGAGACAATAAAAAAAAGAATACCCAGGACACTAGCGTGAAAACTCATCATACTTTTTGAAAACAAGTAAAAATCTGTATAGTTACCAGCACATTAACCGACAATATCATTTGCTAGTGTCCGCTACAAAAACACGTGTATAGCTAAACTTCTAGATTACAATAAATTATATTTGATCAGACTTATTCTCAGAATACGCCACTCGAATGACGCTAGCACTCAAAATAGTCACCGGATTAGACAGATAATTTCGAAGTACTCGAATAAATTTAGACGAGTAAATGCACATAGACATGGATACATAATTACAGAAAAGCTATTTTATTTCATGGAAATCTACTTTGAATGGACAGAACTGAATTCTTTGCGTGATGTTTCTGTCAAATGTTTCATTCATATATTGTGCACGTGCAGCACAACTGTTCTCACATTTCATTCGAAAACATTTCTTAGTCTTTTTTGCTAGTTCTGGTTTCTATTGAACCTGTCAGATCTTCACTGTAGACATTTTTTCGATGGATTACAACAATCTGGAGTATATCTTTAGAGAATCTCACTGAGTAGCAGCTAATCACGCGTCGGTGTTCCTTTGGAGCACCATTCGCGGCTAGCCACTACTATACTGAATTCTATTCTGGCATAAAACCATTCTCTTTGATTTAAACCCTATCAGATTCTAGATTTCACTTAGTTCCAAAAAGTCGTTACAGTTATAACACGAGAATTTGCCTCGCTCGCCAATCAGAGGTTCACTTAAATTCTTCGCTAAGAGAATCTTAGTGGAGTATTCTCCAAAAAAACCAAGCATTTATAAATGATCATCTGTGGGGCGAATCAACGCTGAACCTGCAATAGGAGTGACTAGTCGTTCGTCGGGCGCCCTTCAGAGCGCCACTAACGGCTAGTCGCTCCATTATCTGAGCACACCTGAGCAAAAGCTAGTTATTCTCTTTTAATCGCAAGAAAATGTGATATCATTTCTACATATTTGTTTATATTACCTTCTTCCAGTCGTAGTGCAAAGAAATTTCATGAGTCAAACCGTCTGTTGGAAAGCAAATGCAAATAATGGAACAGTAAGCCAGAAATAAGGCAATGCGAGCAGGCTTAGATGCCAATCATGTCCCATTGACTTAAACGTGAATTTGGATATTAGGAATACTTTGTGGCGTGGATGTCGGTGTCGGTGTAAGCAT